CTCTGGGCCTGTTTCTTCATGACTAAAAAGTGGACAGGAGACTAAGATGATCTCTTTGGTTTCTTTTTGCTCTAAAGTAGTCATTAATTTGAAATCTATCATTTCACTTCCATTTCTACTTTTTTAGCTCTTTTGCAAGCACTTAGTTTATCATTTGGGATTTCTCTTTGCTTTTCATGAGCTCATCTCTGTGCTCCCTCCAGCCAGGTGAGCTTTTCCCTTTATGTTCCCCTTGTTCCTCTTTCTTTCTTGACTGAACTTGAAGATTTAGACAGTCCTTTGATAAATGGTAGGAAATTGTTCTCTTATCACCTTGCCATCTGATTCTGACAATTAGATTCTTATTTAGTCTTGGCTAATAGAATTAAGAAACATATATTTTTTCTCTACTAAGAGATTGAAATTCATATGAACGGCAGCTTGACTTAAAGCTAGGCAGAAAGAGAAGAGGAGGCTTGATTTGACTTTAAATTGAATAAATCTCAATTACCAGTTCAAGATTAAATGGAATATAATGTGCAGGGAATCATGGGATTCTTAACTGGATACTACTTTGGAAAGGACAACCTTTAGGTATGTCTTAGTCTTACACGAATGTTTACTTACAAATAGTGGAGTGGGACCCCTCTAAGATGTTGTTTTGATGGGTTCTGTTAGCAGATGACATGGATAAAAGGAACATGTCATGAAGCTTTACAATCTTTAGTATAAATTCTGTTGGAAGAACAAAGCAGGATCAAAACTGTTGTTGGTGCCTTTGAAATCCAACACAAAAAACTAGAACTTGTAGGCTCTCAAATTGTAGCTTTCGTGCAGTAGTAATGAAACAGTATAATCACTCTAAATAATTCTGCCACCTTTTACAGCTTTCACAGGGTATTATGAATTGTAAAGAAACAAATCCAAATATCTGAATAGTGTCTTGGGATTTGATCAGTCTTGTTTTATGTCATCTGCTAGACTTTCAGTACTGTAGGAGAGTCAGAAAAAGGAGTATAATATTAGGTACCAACATATTAGGTTGAGTTTATGCTGACGTTAAAGATGATAATCACACTTTACAGTAGTAAGTTTATAGTTATTTTTGTTAATAATCATCTTCTTTATCTGTTGTATATTTGGTGAGGCTTTTGTAGTGATTATTCTTTTGAGCCTGGCTGAAATTAAAGATAGAGAAATCCTAATTGGAGCTTTGTGACTAAATATGGTTATTTTAGGAGGAGTGAGGTAGAAAGGATTCATAAAAATTAGACACCTAGCTGCATATATTTATTTATAGCCTCTACCTTGCTAATTTATTTTCTTATAGTGTAAAACTGTTTGAAAATTTAGATTGAACGACTATTTATACACTTAAAATAGGAGCCTATTTAAAAATAATGGAGTAAATTATGAAAAACAAATGAAGTTTATTTGGCATCTTTTGAACATTATTGGATTCTAGACTTGAAAATATGTCTAAGCTAATTTTTGTAGCTATGGTAATTGTACCTGTTCAGTAGCTATGCCAATTCTAAGTACAGTATGCTTTAATTAATATAGCCTTTGGTGTTTCTCTTTAATGGACACTGACTTGATTCATGATATGTAAAATCTAAGCAAGACATACTAAGTGAATTCCAATGAAACAGCCTGAAAAGTGTGCTCTTTGTATTTAATAAAACTAGCCAATTAAGATGGCTCCTCTGACACTAAAAGAGATGACTATATCCTGCTTGCTCTTGGCTCTACCAAAATTACATTGTTGGGTGATTGAATAACTTGGTCATGAAAAAGTTTATTCTCTAAATCAGTGCTGGCAAGCGATGACCTGTGGACCAAATCCTGCCCGCTTTTGTAAATAAAGTTTTATTGGAACACACCCATGCTCATTCATTTGCATATTGTCCATGGCTGCTTTGGTGCCACAATGGTAGTGTTGAGTAGTTGTGGATCAAATGATACATAGGCTTAAAATGTTTACTGTTAATTGGCCCTTTAGGGAAAAGTGTGCTGACTTCTGCTCGCTACCTAAGTCTTTTGTAGTCAGATCATGTTCAAGTTCTGGTGGAGGTTTATGAGGTTAGTATTTTTGGGTTTAATTTCCCATTCTACTTCATTCTAAGAAAGAATACTAAAAAAAAAAGGTGACTTGAGTGTTAGTTTCCAGCTTTCTCATCCATAAGTATGTATAATACCACCTTGCAGGGTTGCTATGAGGAGTCCATGAGAAATATAAGTAAAATGCTTAGCAGAGTGCCTGGCACCCAGAAGGAATTTAAGCAATGGGGAGATATAATCAGGGAAAATCCAAGTGTTTATTTGGGTGATTTAGGATGGCATGTTTTTAGAGATTCTGATTTGTCCACAGAGCTGGCTGCAGAGGCCTAGTTTCCAAGTTTCCAAATATCCAAGTTCTTAATATAACATTGCTGATTAACTTCCCTATGTCCTTTTCTTCCTCCCTCCTTCCCTGCCTTTGTCCCCCTCTCCCTTCTTCTTTTCTCTCTTCTTATCCATCTTATACCTTCCCCTCCTCTGTTTCCTTTTTGATATATGTAAGCATCGGTATTAAATTTAGGACAATTGCTAACTACTCGTAGAGAGAGTATGCAGAGAACCTAACACATAGAAGAGTCTCCATTATTCTTAGTTCCATTCTCTAGGAAGCAGAGGGACTCTAAAATCTTGTAATCTCCCTCTCCACCCCCTTTATTCTTATGTGATAATGTGTATTAGCAGCCATCTAGATGTATGTAAAATCCATTCCTACCACAGCAAATTTTAGGCCAGATCTTCTGTTTTGTCATAAACCATGATGCCAAAGGTTTACTTTTAGACAGGCATGGTTTTCTTCTAGAAGACAGGACAGACAGATGGTAGATTCTCTGTAACATTTTGAAGGAAACCTGAAGATCTAGTGATAATTAAACTGACCCTAGCAGTCTTACATTGGTCCCTTGGTATCTGAGGGGGATTGGTTCCAGAACACTGCCACCCCCACCCCTGCAGATACCAAAATCTGAAGATGCTCAAGTCCATTGTATAAAATGGCATAGTATTTGCATATAACCTATGCACTTCCTCCCGTATACTTTAAATCATCTCTAGATTACTTATAATACCTAATACAATGTAAATGCTATGTAAATAGTTGTTATACTGTATTGTTTAGGGAATAATGACAAGAATAAAAAAATCTACATGTTCAGTACAGATGCAACCATTGTAGGTCTTTCCATCTGTGGTTGGTTGAATCCGCAGATGCAGAACCCATGGATTTGGAGGGCTTACTGTATATTTCAAGTACCCACTTAGTTGTTTTCTTGTTTCATGAAAACATAAAATTGAAAAACTAAGTCATTTTACTTGACACGTATTTTTAGAAGATCAATATGAAACCTGGGACCTAATCCTTGTAAGTTATTATAAAACCAACATTAATATATATAAGAGAGCAAGGAAAAAGAATCTTAGACTATTTTTTGTTTTTATTGGCATTTATTATTATTTTGTGGTAGTTTTTAGTTTTGTAGGTGTCATGAGAAAAATATGGAAAAGGTGAAATTCTAGGATGATAGTTACAGCATGAGCAGACCCTTGGATAATAGTATTGACATTTACCCATATTTCTTATGGCTTTAGGCCCTCTCATTTGAAAATCTTTTTATTCCATAGTAAATTTAATTCTATTTTAATTCAACTAAATTCTTTTGTTTGTGGTTTAAAAAGGAGTTAAAATGGGTCAGAATTTCTCATTGAACGTTCCTGCCTTTTTAAAGCTAATACTTAAATGCATTAAACCTAAGTTTTATATAGTAACTCTTCTATTAAAGGTAAAGTGTCCTTCTTGTTTTCTCATTTATTTCACAGTAGACTGAGATTTTGGTAGAGGCAGATATTAATCCCTAGTCCTTAGTCTCTGTAAGTCATACAAGGACATTAAATGGTTTTCTTGGAACTGCAATTTGAGTCAGTATAAAGTTAGGGCCATACATGTTGAATGTACCTTATTTTGAGTATTTCTAGGAACCAGACAGTGAGGTTTAAAACGTAATTTTGTGTCTGGAAGTAGGTAGATAACATGGAAGATGAGGGATTGTTTAGTTTTTAAAAAATTTTATTTCACAATTAAAGAAGTTATGAAAATAAAAAAAAAAAAAATTTTTTTGGGAGGTTTAGAGTTTTTCTTGCCAGGATACAGGGAGAGAAGGAGGAGAGTTGGAAGTGTTGGTGAAACATAACTCAAAGGCATATAGTTAGTGTTAGCATTCTGTTTGCTTATATATGAGAAAAACCAGTAACAGATTGATTTAATCTGTCAAAGGAGAAAGAAGAGGGAGGAGAAGGAAAAAAAAGACATATTTGGGAATAATGAATTTTGTTTTCCTTTCTGTGGCTAAGCTGCTGATTAACTGGCAGCTAGTTGGAGAGACCAGTTAGGATATTCTGCCCTTGGGCAGCTGGATGGGTCATCAAACAAAACAGTTTTAGTTAGTTATGAATTCTTTAGAAGACCTTGGGTGTTTAACTGTGACTTGCATATAAGAGATTGTCTCTGTATTATGTCTGCCACTGTCCTCATTAGCATTTGCATGCCAGATCTGCATAGGAATTTCTCACTCGCTTTAATTATGGTCTCGTTTCCGAATTTTTTTTTTTTTCATTTTGTATTCTTTGGTATGTTAGATGTCTTTTCCAAAAGTTAATGCTCCATCTTCCTGGGGTTTTGTTTGCCATTGTAAATCATTATTTTAACATGGTGTGTGTATAATTTGTTAGTTCTTAGATCACAAAGTGTTAGTCTGTTTGATCACCACATATGGGTGATGTGAACCACAGTGTGTAAAGTGGATTTCTCTAGTCAGTTATCTACAAGAAATCAGTAAACCAACCCTAATTACTTACCCTAAGCAGCTTATGCTCTTTTACCTTACTCTTGCTTAGAAAGGTAGGTTATGATTTTGGAATATTTTGCAAATTGTCTTTTCTATAGTCAGATTTACTGTTGCTATGTGCTTTATTTTTGATGAAGAGTGAGAATAATCTTATGGTAAATTCTGTTTTCTTACAGTCAAAGGCCATTGGTTTGTTAGATGTGGATGTGTATGGCCCTTCAATTCCAAAGATGATGAATCTAAAAGGAAATCCAGAATTATCAGAGAGTAAGTAAAGAACAGATAAATAGTGTGATAATAGTCACACTTTTATTTAGTACCTGCTGGATGTCAGGTCTTGTGCCATGTACCAAGTGTACTTTCTACACAGTGTTATGTAGTAATTTAAAAATCAGATACGGAGCCAGACTGTCTGGGTTTGAATTCCAGCTCTGTCACTGACTAGCCGTGTGGCTTTGGGTGAATTGTTTAACCCCTTTGTACCTCAACAAGCACCCCCACCCCCATATGTACAATATGGTTAACAATTGTCCTTACCAGACAGAATTGCTGTGAGTAATCAATCGCTCAATCACAAAATTGCCGTTAAGTGTAGTGCATTTAACACAGGGCGTGGCACTTGGTAAGTGATCAATGTTAGCTCATCACCCTTGTCTCTATGTTAAATGTGTTGGATGTATGGGAGTATTTGAATAGAAAGTATGTAACATATTTGTGTTAGAAGAGATGAAAATTATTTTCTCTAATAAGGTTTTTGTCATATTTGTCTTAAAGTGTTTTTATAAAAACCCCAAACATTAAGTTCTTTCACCTGCCTTCGCTGCCATCAATACGACAGAGTAATGTTTTGAGTAAATCTTCAATGTTTACTATTCTTATAACATTTTCTTATAAAGCTATCAAATATAAAGCTTGAAGAACAAGAAAATGCTATGATCAAAAAATGAAAAATTGGAACAACTGGTAACTTTTCTTGAAAAATGGTTTAAGTGAAATTAGTTTATTAAAATTTATTTCTAATTATAATAAAAGTATAAAATTGAATAATTTCTTTTTGTTTCTTATTGGGCTTTTTATTTTCCATGGATCTATGACAAAATGACTGTATTTACTGAAGGGTATCTATTGGATTATCTATATACATAGTAGAAGTATTTTTTTGTTATTGTTGTTAAAAGTTAGTTAATTAGACATTGTTTGCTATTTAAAGTGTTTTTGTTTGTAGTGTAGTTGTTGGAGTCAATTACAATGTTAAGTTCTGAATAATTGTTTATAGGACAATAAGGATTCTCCCTAACATTTTGAAGGAAACTTGAAGATCTAGTGATGATAAAATTGACCTTAGCAGGGCCGGCCCCGTGGCTTAGCGGTTGAGTGCGCACGCTCCGCTGTTGGCGGCCCGGGTTCGGATCCCGGGCGCGCACCGACGCACCGCTTCTTCGGCCATGCTGGGGCCGCGTCCCACATACAGCAACTGGAGGGATGTGCAGCTGTGACATACAACTATCTACTGGGGCTTTGGGGGAAAAAAAAGGAGGAGGATTGGCTATAGATGTTAGCTCAGAGCCGGTCTTCCTCAGCAAACAGAGGAGGATTAGCATGGATGTTAGCTCAGGGCTGATCTTCCTCACACACACACACACACACACACACACACACACACAAAATTGACCTTAGCAGTCTTATATTGCAGGCATCCACTTAGTTGTTTCTTGTTTCATGAAAATATAAACTTAAAAAGCTAAGTTATTCTAGTTTCTTTGTTCTTTGTCCTTTTAATGGAATGCATACTTAGTTTGCAAATATGTGACATGAGCCAAAATGTCAAACTGTCACAAAGGAGTAATGAATTTACATACTTTAAATGATATACTCATTATGTCTGTCTCTTGATTCAAGTAATGTGAAACCGGTGCATGCAGCACATGAGTGATGGCAAAATGGAGCCCTTGTTGTCACTCCTTTCTTAAGTAATATGTTCAGTCTGTGCCAACATAAACACTTGAAGTGAACTTTAATTTCTTTCTTCTTGTTTTACTGAAGCTGTAATTTTAAATTTGATGTTTGCAAATTGGCTGCCATTAAATAGGCTTTCTGGTAAAGATGAGCTACTGGAAATCTTGGAAAGCCTGAAAAGAATACTTTTTTTGTGTTGACAAGCTGATCTTAAGTCCCCCAAGAAATAAACTGAATGATTAAGGCATTCACTTTAAAAGAATGTGGATTCTTAAAAGCCCAACTTATAAATTATTTTTTGAATCTTAGATAAACCTGCCACCATTATACTAATTGGCATCATTTTGACATTTCTATATTTTATCATGTTAATTTATCCTGTTGTACTCTCTATTACGGAAAACACAGAGCAATGTGAAATTATCTAATTAACAGTAAAGAAAAACTGAAAGATTTGTTTTCAGTAGTTCAGATTTTGAGGAGATAGACCAGGGAGCAGAATCTCAGCTTTATAAATGTTCCTCTGGTCTTGGACTTAGCTAGACAACCTTAGGAGCAGTGGGATTTCAGGATTGTCCCTTTCTCTTCATTATTTAAACAGACATATGGTAACACAGTTTTAGTCAATTTGTTCATTTTAAAACTCTGTTAGAGTTGGCAGATTATACATTTATTCACATTCTCTTATCTCTTTTTTCTTTTTGGGGAGATTGTAGAAAAACCACACTTTTTGCAGTTACATGACATTTTAGCCTTGATTACCAAGAGAAATTTTATATTTAATTCTAGGGAACTGAATGCAGTAGTTGAAGAAAAATTTAAGTTTATAATAGTTTTGGGTTTCTTAGGCTGAGAATCTTTCTATCAGCTTAAAATGGCAATAGTGATTTGTCTATGTTATTATGGAAAATTATGGTAATGGGAAGTCTAGCCAGTTTGTAGAAAGGGTATTATACAAAAACTTCAACAGGTTGACATTGTAATGACTGCAAATGACCAGTTGCTTTGGGAACCTAATGGAATTTAGAAAAAAATCCGTGTGTAGTTGGCGAAACTATCATCTAAGCATGAATATACCTTTTTTTTTTGAGCAAATACCAGTTATTTTTCTCTTTTTTAACTTTCTAAATAACATAATATGCAAATTTCATATTACAGTATAGCTAAATTATAGTCCTAGAAATTATTGAGTAGAAAGGTTTTCAACTAAAATTGCAAGTGTATATTAAGTGGTAGTTGCACACAGAAATGTGTTGCTGCATTTCACTAATGTAACTTTCTTTTTTGTGACTATGTTGAGGATTTTCACTAAGCTTTCTGAAATGACTCATTGTAGAAATATCTGCTTTCTTTCACAGTTTTGTGATGATAAATCACCTTCAGAATGCTTGTGAATTTAATACTACTTAGCTTTACTAGAGAATGTCTTTTAATGTACTTAGCTAATAAAGTAGGAAAATTTTAAGGCCTGTAGAGAGAGGTTACTAAAATTGAAATGTCAACTAATTTTATTAAGGATGACGTAGTGCTTATTAATGATGAAATCTGAAACTTTTTTGAGTGGGATCCACTTGTCTTTTCTATTGTTATGGGAGAGAAATTTTGCACTTATATTGCCATATTCTGCTATGTCTTAAGGTAGTAAGCATTTTTTAAGTTTCAGAATGAAATGTGTGTAGGCTTATGAGACAGAATTGTAGAAAATCAGCTTGGGCGAATGACCTTTTATATTAGCATTCATCTCTAGTAAGAACTACAAGGAAGCAACTAAGATTTCTTAAAGATAATTTAAGTGCTTAAAGAATGAGAGTGAGCTCTACCTATTCCTGAAGTCACCTCATTGTTTCCTATCAGGCAAGCGAGTTAGGGGTGTTACTGAAGTTGTTAGCGTGGATGATTAAATTCTGATCCAGTGGATGGAGCTCTTAGAGCTTCTCATTTAAAATTTGCTTCTTCTGGTGATTGTCTTGTGGATGCTTGGGTTTCATCTGATGCTAGAATTCCTCTGATTGTCTTTGGGAAATGTTCTGGGATGTATTCCATGATCACAGTATTATAGGACTGACTTTTTCTTTGCTGCTTTCCTGGATTATGTTTATAATCTCTTTTATACCTAGAGTATTAAGACAAGGTGATATTCCTAACATGATCAGGGGTTGAAGGAATCTTAAAAAGTTGTTTTAGTTTGCTCTGGCTTTAGGTGCTTTTATCTCTGAAATATCTCAGAGATGAAATCTATGTTCTTTGAAGAATCCCATCATCCTAGTCTATCAAAACAGAAGTCTATCCGTCTCTCTACTTGGCTCATTGTTTCTTGCCTAGGTCATTGGATAGGCCTGAACTAAATAGCTGTTTAGTGTGGTAGAACCCTTTTGCTTTTTCCTTTGACAATCCTGAGCTGAAAAATAGCCAGCCTCTTTTTGGATTTTACTTGCTCTGCTGCAAACCGTCTTAGCCAGGGGCTGCAGCAGGTGAAATCGTGGAAGAATGCCTTATTTAACCACAGAACAACTAAATGTATTTTAGTAGCTACTGCCTGTTCATTTTGGTTTTCTTTCACAGGATGGCAGCCAATAGTGTTGACCAGATGTATCTGTATATATGTCAAGCAGGCTGTACATCTTTGTGTGTATGATGAGCTCCTGCCACAAGACAAGATGGGTGTTCTCCCATGCCTCTTTCATTTTTTGAATTATACAAGATGGCTATTCTTAAGATTTTTTTCTTTTCTTTCTTCAGATTTTTTTCTTCTTATTTCCTAACCTTTTGATCATTTTCAGTATTTCTCAAAATTATCAGCACATTTTCAGTATCTTCTCTCAGATGAGAAAAATTATAAGAACTTACTATTGTTAGGTAGTGGGAAGATTAGCTTGCAGTTTTATTTGTAATACTCTATTTCTATTTATGTGCCCTGTGAAACTTTTGCTTTTTAAAGTAGACTCCGTTATTGCTGATTCATAGTTACTTTAATAATTCACTGGGTACTTTAGGAACCTTTTAGGGGTACTTTAACAAAACACCGTTTTTTCTTTTGTTTTGTTTTGTTTAGGTTAACAGAAAGTAAAACATTTAAAAAGGAAAGTAGTTTGGTGAAAGCAGGATGTGAAATGAGTTTTAAAGTCAAGCTACCAAGAGAAAAAAAAAAACAGTGAAATAAGGATCTTTTTCACTCTCCTTCTAGACTTGTGCTCTAGATTTTGTGTATGTGGTATGCAGTCATACAGGGTAGTGGACTGAAATGATATCTTGTTCATCAAGATTGGATAGATTTTGTACAGCCATGTTCATAGCAGCATTATTCACAGTAG